AGAACTTCCATTTTTTTGGTAGTAAACCCCAATAACTTTTGCATTTTGCAGAATAAACCCCAAATAAATTTCTGCATTTTGCAGATAAACCCCATAAATTGGAACCAAAAAACAACATAAACGGCATTTGAAAGTTATTGAGGGGTTTAGTGTAATTTACCCAAAAGGTATTGGGGTTTTCTGCAGAATTTATTAGGGGTTGGTGGGATTTTGAAACCTATTTGCGGTTTACTGCAAACAATTAAAGTTATTGAGGGTTTACTGTAATTTACCCTTTTTCTTTTTGAGAGAAACTGTGAGGTCTAAGCCCCCCAGCATTTCATTAGAAAGATAACTTGATCTCCTAGGAATAAAAAAGAAAGAAAACATAAACATATGCATAAGTACAAACAACTTGTGCACTCCATCATAGAGATCCATTGTTGTTTACCTCACCTTGCAGTCAATCAAGAGCCCCCCAACCAACAAAAAAAAGACACAGAAACAGACACAGAAAAACCCCTTGTTTTGCATCACAAAATGCTATGAGAACACCACAATGGCAACTCCTTCATTTTCTCTCTCTCTCCACCCTTCTGTTGTTGCATTTCCCATCTTTCTGTTAATCCAAAGCCCAGGACAGGTGCCAAAGTCCCTAATTTCTATGATAATGAATTTTTATATAGCTAGACTATCAGGAACTACTATACTTCCCCCATGTAATTCCAATGATTAGTAATTACCATGTTCTTTTGTGTTTATAAAAAACTAATGAATGGCAAATGACAAAAATATTCTTATAGTTAGTAAACCGCCATAAAAATCCAAATATACACTATCTAAAATTGTTTTTTTTTCCTTAGTGCTCCATTGACCATTCCAATCACCTCTATTGATACATAGTTTTCATTAAAGAAACTTCAGTCCCTTAGTGCTCCATTGACCATTCCAATCACCTCTATTGATACATAGTTTTCATTAAAGAAACTTCAGTCTCTTTGTCTTCTCTCATTAAAAGTTGATCACCTCTATTGATACATAGTTTTCATTAAAGAAACTTCAGTCTCTTTGTCTTCTCTCATTAAAAGTTGTAAAGCTAACACCCTGAACAACTATAATAATTTATTTGATCCGGTTATATTCCTGGTATGATGGATGCTCTCAGATATAACAACTATACTCCACATAGTGTTGTTTATTTTCAAGCAGACTCCATACAAATTCACCCATGAGGCTTATTTCTTGTTTGGTTTGTCCTCAATGACTCGATTAGGTTTAGTTTCTAGTAGCTGAAGGCAACAATCTGGATTCTATTGAAACGAGGAGTTATAGGCCTAAATATTTGAGTTCCATTAAATGTTTTACTCTATATATCAGATAAATTTGGAAATCTTTAAGGTAATTTCTTGTTTCTTGACCACAGAGTAAGGTTCTCCGTGTATTGTGCTACATAGCGGAAATTTCTTTTTCTGCATCCTTTTCTAGTTGTATTTCTGACGCCCGTGTTTGTCGATGTCAATGGCAGGCCGAGGACAATGCCATTTATGCGAAAAAACAAGTATTTGCAAGTAAATTGTCATACATAAGAAAAGAAAAGGTAAGAGAACATATGGTGAACTTACAAGACAATTAGCTAAACCACCAATAATTCAAGCTCGTGCACCTCAGATACAACATCCAAATTCAATTTACGGGTAAAAAAAAATGCAATAAAAGTACCTGTCATTCTGAATGGCGGACAAAAATGGGTTCTCCGGTGGCGGAAGAAGCTTGGACAGATAAAAGTACCTGTCATTCTGAATGGCGGACAAAAATGGGTTCTCCGGTGGCGGAAGAAGCTTGGACAGGATGGCGGCATACAGAAATCCTAGAAATGATATAATGCCAAGCATAACGAAAATCAGTCCGCAACACCCGTCACTTCTTGAGGTTTGCGCCATTTTAGATAGCCTTCGAACTGAGATTCTAGCGCACGAGTATTACCCCTCCGCCCGCTGCCGTAATCTGTCAAGGATTCAAGCTACTGTTTACGTCCAGATTTGGAGTAACGAGGTAACTAAAAAATATCAAAAGAATTCCCACTATATAAGTGATCTAAGCTGTTGTCGTGGAGAAAAGTGGGCCAGCGAATTGATTTCGATCGACAAATGGAATGAAGATAAATCGCACCGCAGCTATGAATTCAAAACTAGTTAGCATTTGAGGAAAATAAACACAGATCGATGAGTCAAATATCAATTCGGGATCTTATTGTTTATTCAGTTGGGGGGTAAGATTTCGCAGATTAGATACAAGAATATTGCAAGAAAAACTGAAGATTCAGCAAGAAATCGACAAAGGAGAGTATTAATTTGACGGAAAAAAAATATGATAAAATATTGAAGATTACAGCGAGAATTACCGATTTTTTTTCGGCGGGGGAGGGGGAAACTGGCACCTTAGAACCCTAGGCGGCGTCGCTCTTGTCATTCGCTCTCTATCGGGTAAATTTATTGTCAAAAAAGTCCTGCGCTATCGAGGTTTTGCATTATTTCACCCTCGTCCGAGTTCGGGTAAATTTATTGTCAAAAAAGTCCTGCGCTATCGAGGTTTTGCATTATTTCACCCTCGTCCGAGTACTGAAAAATTACGCGTAATACTTGTTATTTATCAATTTATGTCTCTAAATCATTTATCCACTTACTAGATTAACCTCTCCGGCTCTCGGTCGATGTCAGCACGTGCAAACTTCAATCACTGTTCAAAAGAACATGTTGAGTTGAGAGGAGTGGTGCACACTAATGACGTGTTTGGATGGAGGGTAGAGAGAGGGAGGGGAAGAGAAATCTAATTTTAATATTGTTTAGGAGTTACATTTAAAAGGGTAGAGGAGGAAAATAGGGGGAAATTTTGAGCCAAAATCTTACACCCCAAATTGGATGTAATGAAGGGGAACTTTTCTCCTTCCTTCTCTTCCCTAAGTCATCTCTCAAACACACTGTAAGAATTATATTGTTATTACCTAGAGGCGAAGTTTAGAATTTTACAAAGATTAGGCACTAAAAAGTTGAGCACAAGTTTCAAATTTGAAATATTTTATTCGGTAGAGAAAAAAATTGAACTTTCATCCATAAATCAAGAAACGTTTTTTTTTACGCCCAAATGGACACTATAGCTTAGGTAACACTGGAAATTGAAAGTATGATATAGTTTGGATGGAAGCTATTGCTTTAGTTTTACTAAAGTTTGGATGGCGGCTTCAATGCTAGATATGTGTGAGAGTTTTGCATGATGTGACACGATGAGAGCTGAGATTGTTTGAGTATTTTACTAAATAAATCTAACTAAACTGATTTACATGTGTCCCACGATGAGAGCTGAGATTGTTTGAGTATTTTACTAAATAAATCTAACTAAACTGATTTACATGTGTCCCAAAATAATTTACCAAGGGTTCTAAGCCAATTATCCAGGAGTAATGAAGATCCTAAAGTAATTTCTGAGAATAGTGATGGCAGTTCACCTCATTGCCCCATGCTAGATCCGCCTCTGAAGTATGTCGAACACTTAAAAATTCTATTTTTTCTATTAAAATTGATAATTTTTAAATACAGACAGTTTGTATTGTTAACTTTAAAATTTGCTTTCCATTCATTTTCATCTTTAAAAATCATCCACATCATCCAATAATATGGTGACAACTCATCTTATCTTATCTCGTTTCTTACTTTTAAGAATGAACTAAGGGGCTGTCCGTTTCGCAAAAAAATTTGGGAAATCAAAGAATAGGAAACCTATTTCCTATAATAATTTTTTTGAGGTTGTTAGGTTGGTTTAAAAAAAAAGAAAATTATAGAATAGGAGATGAGATGAGATGAGTTGTCAGCTTATTATTGGATGATGTGAGTGATTTTTTAAAAAAATTGTTTTGAGGTTGTTTAGTTGGTTAAAAAAATAAGGAAATGAATTGGAGGTATATTATTGGATGATGTTTTGAGGTTGTTTGCGTTTGGTTCATTTTTAAAAATAAGAAAATAAATGAGATGAGATGAGTTGGAGGTATATTATTAGATGATGTGACACATACTTAAGGAAATCAAAATTTTTTTTTTGAGGAAATGGATGGAAAGGAAGGTTTAATTAGATGAGATGAGTTGTCACAATATTATTGGATGATGTGTGTGATTTTTAAAAATGGGATAAGATGAGATGGTTGTCACAATATTATTGGATGATGTGTGTGATTTTTAAAAATGGGATAAGATGAGATGTGATGAGTTGGATGATGTGACACATTTCTTGTGTTTGGTTTATTTTTAAAGGTAAGAAAGAAGATGAAATGAGATGAGTTGGAAGATAAAAATAATATTTTATTGGATGTTGTGGGTGAGTTTTAGGGATAAAAATGGATAAAAATATTATTTTATTGATTTCCTTGTACCGATTTCCTTTTCTTGGTTTTTAGGAAACCAACCAAACGGGCCCTAAACACAAGAAATGAGACACATCATCCATCTCATCTTATCTCATCATTAAAAATAAGTCACATCATCCAATAATATAGTGACAACTCATCTCATCTCATTAAAATTTGATTTCCATCTATTTCCTAAAAAAATCAAGAAATGAGTTTCCTTAAGTATGAGTCACATCATCCAATATAATAACAATTCATCTCATTTTATCTCTTTTCTTAGTTTTAAGATGAACCAAACACAAGAAAAGAATTTATCATAAAAAATAGATTTCTTATAATTAATTTTCTTATTTTTTTAGCCAACCAAACAACCTCAAAATATTTCTTATAATTTGTTTCTTTAGAAATTACTCATATCATCTAATAATATTGTGACAACTCATCTCATCTCATCTTCTTTTTTACTTTTAAGAAATGAACCAAACATAAGAAAAGAATCTATTTTGAAAACAGATTACATTTCCTTTGATTTACTTGTTTTTTATCGAACCAAACTTGACCCTAAGGAGTCGAACCCGGTTAATACAAAGAACCTAACAAACAAGTACAGTAGCGCGCTCACTTGGAGACCCCCCGCTAAATTCTTGAAACCCTAAACCCTAGCGCACCGATCTCCCCTCATCGCGCTGCCATCGAGACGATCCAAGGTAGGTTTTCCAAGGTAGGTTTTCTTTAATCTTATTTGTCTATCAATTTTCCATCCCAGTTGATAATTTTGAGGAAATTTCCGTACCAATTTCTTTTTTTTTCTTGATTCTCTGGGTCAGTCTCTTGCTTTTCTTCTCCCACTTTAGGCCTCATAAAAGTTTTCAGACATTTGTTAGTTCTATCCTTTTGTTTCGAAATTTTCGTTATTTTTGTTGCATTTACGAATCTTATGAAGAATTTTTCAAGAAATGGAGTTGTGTTGTTGTTGTTGTTGTTTTTGTTATTCAATTTCATAATCATTGCCTCGAACAGTAATCGACGCAATTTGTTTGGTTCAGCTCAATTTCGTAGGAGAAGGGAGCCGTGAATTTCTATTTAAAAAAAATGCAGTCCGTACATTGTAGCTGGGCTGGGAGAACATTTGGTATAGCTAGATGCAGTAGCAGTGATTCTGGCGACAAGAAGCCACGGAGTAGACGAACAAAAGAGGAGAGGAAAACGATGGTTGAGTCCTTTGTAAAGAAGTAAGCGACTCACAATTTTCCTATGCCAGCGAGGTTTCATAGGCTTCTAATCTGTTTTGTGTTTTCTTTCGAAATGTATTGCATAATGCGTAAATTGTATAAAGGTGCATGCAGAATACTGTGAACTTAGTATTCACTCTGTCCCTTCTTGTATATTTTATGATTTCATATTTATCTGCATAGTGCCAATTCCTTATGGTGCTTAATTGTTGAATAGTTGTATTTGGGTCATGCTTAATTGTCTGAACCAATCTATCCGAGTTTTGATAATTTGCATCATACTTTATGATATGAATGATTTAGTTTAATGTCTTCTGTCAATGCTAAATGAGAGGCATCCTGTCACATTTGTTTCAGACCCAAAGTAAGATCATAGGTTTGTGGCGAAGTTTGTCAGCAAGTTTTATCTCCCAAAAAAAAAGTTGGTTCACAGGTTCTTTATAAAAACTTGTTTACAGAAAAATAGCTAAATGAATAAGAGGGAGAGAGTGATAGAGTATTTTGGACATGTATTAGTTCTTGGAGGGAGAATATTTGCTTCAAATGCTGGGAAAGATCTCTAGTCAAGGTAAGTTGATTTATAATAGAACAAGAGATTGTATATATTTGTTATTTGGTTTGACCAGAATCGATATCTATCATCTAATTTTTTATCATGATCTTTAGATTTCATGGTCATATATTATAGCCTTTTATCCTGTGCAGGGGCAGTGGATAGTCCTTTGTTTAAGCAAGCTGTTAAGGTTCTTGTAATTTAAATAATTAGATTACAGACCCTATGTTAATAAATTAAATAGTAATTCTTGTTAGAAGTTGCTAAGGCACCAATGCACCTATAGCATACATGTAAACAAATCTAGCACTTTTCTTATTGCACTTAGAATTTTATTCATTGTAATTGTCCATATGGATGATGGTAGAAAGCCATCCAAAATTTTTATTTTTATTTAAAAATAATCCCTAGCATTTTAGTAATTTTAACATATAGAGGTCCATTCAATTTGGTGCCCATATACTTCATAAGAGTAGATGCCAATTCAAGATGATGAAATGAATGGCTTTCATGGATCACATGATTTGATTTCTTTGAAATATGGGTTTTTCCGATATTAGTCCCTCAAATCTTTCATATTTTGACATTAGCCTCTCATATCTTCATATGTTGAAATAGTCACCCAAAGCTTTAAATATTCTAAAATTAGGCCCCTAAAGCTTTATATTTTGAAATTAGTCCTCCAAATCCTTTAAGTTATTTGAAACTGGTCCCACAGATCTTTCAACCTGGTGTTAACTAGAGGGTCTAATTTCATAACACTAATAAGGTTTGGGGGGCTTATTTCAAAATATGAAGATTTGAGGGGATTTATTTCAAAATACTTAAAGATTTGGGGCTAATACAAAATAGGAAGATTTGGGGGACTAATATCAAAATATGAAAGATTTGGGGGACTGTATCAAGAAAAACTTCAAATATTTGCTTCATGTACTGTTTAAATCTCTCAGAAACATTATAAGATTCTGTATGAAGGTACTTTGTTGAATATTTTTGATTATTTAACTTGAACAAAATTTCATTCAGGTACCAAAGTTTGAACAATGGAAAATTCCCATCACTTAATCTAACACACAAGGAAGTTGGTGGATCCTTTTATATTGTACGGGAAATTGTGAGAGAGATCATTCAGGAGAACAGAGTTCTATGTCCCGGAAACTCAACTTCCAAAGCACTAAATCTTGAATATGGCCCCGAAGAAATGACAGGAGACTCTTTTGCCATGGACACATCCGCACCATTGTCTATATCAACTATCAATCTTGCAGTCAACCAAGAACAAGGAGAGAGTTTTTCTTTGTCTAATGATGAGAAAAGGACGAGTTCAGAAATTATCGAAATAGAGAAGTCTGTCAACCAAGAATATATGGAAACTGATCCAAATATTACTTTTGTATCACAAGTTCTGGATGGTGAACAAGACCATGCGATTTCTACTGGTTATCCAAATGAGAAGTTGGAGAATGCGAGTAATGTGGTATCCAACATTGGTGAACTATCAGGGGTAAGAGATGAAAAGTTGGGAGTTTATGAAAAAACACACGCTGAAGTTTCAGTTTTCAGTCCAGAAAATTCCAGTAAGTTTGAGAAACTGGTTCCCTCGTATGAAACTGTGTCTACGACTCCTCTCCAGTCTGAATCTGACCTGGATGGTGAAGAATACCATGAAAATTTTAATGGTACATATATCAATGAGAAGCTGGAGAATTTAAGTTATGAGGAACCCAACCTTAGCAGACTATCTGGGGTGATGTATGAGAAGTTAGGAGTTTCTGAACAAACACGTGGAGAAGTTCAAGTTCACAGCTCAGAAAATTCTGGAAAGGTTGAGAGTCTAGCCGGTTCTGTGACTTCTCCACTAATCGAATATAGCAGTGATAGCGAACAATACCATGGGATTTCCAATGGTTCTCTTTTAAATGGAATGTTGGAGAGTTGTAAGGATGACAACCTTGGCAAACGATCAGGGTCAGAAAATGATAATGTAGAGGTTTCTGAACAAACACATGCTGAAGTTCAAGTTCACAGTCCAGAAATTTCTGAAAAGGTGGCATCTATGACTCATCCCATGTTTGATTCCAAAATTGGTATGACAGGATCAATTGATTCTCCATCACCAAGCAGTTCTCTTCCACTGTCAGATAACTTCTTCAGAACCAGTATTTGTCCAGATCCACTAACAGCTTGTGCTTCTCTTAGTGGTGGAGAAGATCGTCCACTATCATCAGCTGATGCCGTGACTAGCAATCCAGGTAAATCTCAGAATTCAATAGGCATGACAACTTCCCTTGAGGTACCAAAAACGTCTGATTCTGATGAAGTGAGTGTAGCATTCATGCCATTTGAAAAAGGTTCTGTCATAAACAAGTCAGAAACAACAGAAACGCTATCATCCATTGTCGCTGATGAAATATCAGATGCAAACCCCTGTAGACAACTTTCATTTGAAAAAGATACTGTAGCAGGCATGCCAGAAATGACAGGAACACTAATGTCTGCTGATATTGATGAAGTATCAACCAAAATGAATGGATCCATACAACAGAACTTAGAGTCCCCTGCATTGGGAGGTAGGGGACTTTTGGTAAGTTTCAATACCATAGCCTGCTGTATATTTGGTTTGAGTTTACATCTTTTATGTTACTTGGTAGTTAATTTTTATCTTTGCATGTGTTGAAAGTTGTTTGTGATACCATCTTATGAAGTATTTCTTTAAGATGTACGAGTAAATAATAATTGCATAATTCAAAGAGTTGCACGTGCATTTATTGAAGGTGCGCATAAATTCTTGTCCTTTTCTCCTAGAGATTTTTGTTCTGGATCAGATTGCAAATCCCTGAAGTCAGTACATTGCTGAAGGGGGAGGAGAAATTATTATTTTTGTAGGTTCATGAACACCTAAAGGCAGGATATTTGTTTTCATGATTATTGGTTTTTGCTTAGATAAGAGGTTTGCACTTATATAACCCTCCGGATTTATT